TGACAATTGTCATAATCGTTATTTTTGAACATAGATTTTTTAAAGTAAATGGGTAAAAATATGTTTTGTAAACATGTTAAATTAATATTTCAGTGAAAGTGTACTATAGAAAAGTGACAATTGTCATAATCGTTATTTTTGAACATTTTTAAGATTTCTTAAAGTAAATGGGTAAAAATTTGTTTTGTAAACATGTTAAATTAATATTTCAGTGAAGATGTACCATAGAAAAGTGACAATTGTCATAATCGTTATTTTTGAACTTTTTTAAGATTTTTTAAAGTAAATGGGTAAAAATATGTTTTGTAAACATGTTAAATTAATATTTCAGTGAAGATGTACCATAGAAAAGTGACAATTGTCATATTTTTGAACTTTTTAAGATTTTTTAAAGTAAATGGGAAAAAATATGTTTTGTAAACATGTTAAATTAATATTTCAGTGAAGATGTACCATTGACAATTGTCATAATCGTTATTTTTGAACTTTTCTGAATTTTTTTAAAAATAAATAGCTAAATATATATATTGTAAACAAGTTAAATTAAAATTTCAGTGAAGATGTACCATAGAAAAGTGACAATTGTCATAATCGATATTTTTGAACTTTTTTGAATTTTTTTAAAGTAAATAGGTAAAAATATATATTGTAAACAAGTTAAATTAAAATATCAGCGAAGAAGTACTATAGAAAAGTGACAATTGTCATAATCGTTATTTTTAAACTTTTCTGAATTTTTTTAAAATAAATAGCTAAAAATATATATTGTAAACAAGTTAAATTAAAATTTCAGTGAAGATTTACCATAGAAAAGTGAAGATTTACCATAGAAAAGTGACAATTGTTATAATCAATATTTTTGAACTTTTTTGAGTTTTTTTAAAGTAAATAGGTAAAAATATGTTTTGTAAACATGTTAAATTAATATTTCAGTTAAAGTATACTATAGAAAAGTGACAATTGTCATAATCAATATTTTTGAACTTTTTTGAGTTTTTTTAAAGTAAATAGGTAAAAATATGTTTTGTAAACATGTTAAATTAATATTTCAGTTAAAGTGTAAGAAAAGTGACAATTGTCATAATCGATATTTTTGAACTTTTTTGAGTTTTTTTAAAGTAAATAGGTAAAAATATGTTTTGTAAACATATTAAATTAATATTTCAGTTAAAGTGTACTATAGAAAAGTGACAATTATCATAATCGATATTTTTGAACTTTTTTGAGTTTTTTTAAAGTAAATAGGTAAAAATATGTTTTGTAAACATGTTAAATTAATATTTCAGATATACCATAGAAAAATTACAATTGTCATAATCGTTATTTTTGAACTTTTTTAAAATAAATAGCGAAAAATATAATTCTAGATATAAAAATTTCAGTGAGATTTATTATGATTGTGTTAATGACTAAAATAATAAAAAATTCTACTATTATAATTAAACTTTACTCCTCACAGCAATCAGAAAGTTTTTAACATAATGTATAATAGCTCGCCGATGTATAATTAAGGCATTTTTTAAATTAATTTACTTTTTCGAAATATGTTTACTCGGAAATATTAAATTTTTTAAATAAATAAAAATATAAATATAATTGAACGAACGTTAAATTCGAACCCCCCCCCCCCTTATACGCTAGAAAATAAATTACTAATTCATTTTACGGCTCCTTATTTTGTGAAATAATTTGTTTAATTTATAGATAATTTGAATGATGAAGAGGTAAACCCCTTAATTATAGGAGATCAACTAAAGGGTGCTCATAGTCATTTTCCCAATTTATCAAGTATTTATGTTCAATATTGCAAAAAATTAATTCTTAATTCATAGAAAGCGCGCTAAAACATCTAATATATTTAAATGAATTAGATAATAACGGTATTTAAAAAAATATATAAAATTTCATGAATATTTTTCTTTAGGTTTTTCAATTGGTCCAGCGTTGAAAATCAACTTCCGTCAATTAAGTTATCATCCTTTTTAAATTAATAATTTATAACCTACTTATAAAAAATAAATATTCAGACGATTATTACATTATTCATTTTGTAAATATGTTTTTATGATATTTTTATGTTTTAGGTCCCATCGATGAAATAAACTCAGAATCAGGGTCAGAAATAATGAATACAATCTGCCATTGTAAACAAAATTGTATGACAAATATATGTAAATGAAAGGCGGTTAATGTGTCTTGTAATTCTCAGTGTCATTCTATAAATAATATATGCAAAAATAAATGATTATTATATTTATATTTTGAAAATAAAAAATGATTATTTTATATTTATGTTGAATTATATTGAAAATAAAAAATGTGTTTTTTATATTGTCAAAAAATAAAATCTTGCAAAATCATACAGAAAAGGCTTGCTACCAGATTTTTGGTAAGAATATGGCGTAAAAATGTATTTTAACATAAAATATTTTAGCGTATAAACTGGGGGGGGGGGAGTAAAAATCCCCACCCATTTGGTAAATATTATTTAAAAATTATAAACTATTTACACTTATGAAAAAACTAAAAATGTGTATATGATATCATCAAAATAATAAGAAAATATTAAAAATAACGACCTTAAAATATTTGTGAGAAATTTTTAAAAAAGGAGTATAAACCTAATAAAATTTAAAATATAAACAGGCCAAAGGCCTTCAAAGAGGGAGTCTAACATTATTCTATTAATTTATGTAAAAAAATTACCAAAAGGTTTTCAACCTCTAGCAAAAATCTTAGATACACTTGTAGTGTTTTGCATATAATCTTAGTTATTGTTTAAAATATTCCAATAAACTTGTAATTTTAGATAGTTCATTAAAGTGAACAAATATCTAAAATATATTTATTTATAGATTTTTAATAAATATGTCAATTATATTATAGTTAGTTGATATACAAAATAACCTATATTTAGTAAACATATTTTGAAAAAGTAAATTAATTTAAAATTAATTATACATATGCGAGCTATTATTCATTATGTTAAAAACCTTTCTGATTGCTGTGAAGAGTAAAGTTTAATTATAATAGTGGAATTTTTTATTATTTTAGTCATTAATACAATTATAATAAATCTCACCGAAATTTTTATATCTAGAGTTTTTATAAAATCAAGGAACGATTTGCAGGAAAAAAACTCATCATTAATTTTGATTATAATAATTAAAAGCGAATTAAGGAATTTTGTTTATAACTATATGACAATTGTCACTTTTCCATAGTACATCTTCACTGAAATTTTAATTTAACTTGTTTACAATATATATTTTTACCTATTTACTTTAAAAAAATTCAAAAAAGTTCAAAAATAACGATTATGACAATTGTCTTTTCTATGGTACATCTTCACTGAAATTTTAATTTATCTTGTTTACAATATATATTTTTACCTATTTACTTTAAAAAAACTCAAATAATTTCAAAAATAACGATTATGACAATTGTCACTTTTCTATGGTACATCTTAACTGAAATTTTAATAAAACATGTTTACAAAACGAACGCCTTTATTTAACAGCAATAAATGGTGTCATATAAAGTTATTTTATTTTTTTATTCAACACGCTTGTTTTTTTTTCATTAACAAATAAATATTAAAAAAAAGTTGTTTTTTTTTTAATAAATTTTCTTTTACGTATTTTTTTATCTAATGGAAAAATATTGATGCTTTTATTATTTTAAATTTTTTTTACGTATTTTTTTTATCTAATGGAAAAAATGGTAATTTTAAAATTGATGCTTTTATTATTTATTTAATAGGAATTAAGATATAATTTAGAACTAAAAGATTTTTCTACATTAAAACAGTTTATGAGTTATGAGAAGAATACCTTTTCAAATTATAATATTTAAAACATATTCCAATAGTATGGACCACAATTTATAACCCAGATATAAATTTTTCAAATATATTAGCACATGCATATCTTAGAAATATTCATGAAAAGTTATTAATCTAATAATTGTTTTTTTATAGATGTTGAGGAATTTAACAATATTCCCAAACAATAGTGCCAATTAATGGGATTAATTGAATGTCTATTTAATCATGAATTAGGTTTTTATTATAATCTTTTGATACTATTAAAAATGTAATATTTCATTATATAAAACCTTCATGCAATTTTGTCATAATATTTGTTTAATAAATTTAAAAAAATTAATGTTAATAAAGTAAAACAACGTATATATCCTGGTACACCAAACTTGTTACGCTTTTCATATTTATATAGATGCATGGCCTAAGCTTAATGTTCTAAGATTTATAAATACAATTTTTTATTTTAATCATGTAAGGTGAATGTAATATCAAAATTTACTAAATAATATTTATTCAGTTTGATATTTTATATATAAAAGTAAAATATTTTTGTTAGCTTATGACAGATGTCTTAATCAAATCCCAAATATGCTATTATTTTTTTACATAACATAAAAATAAATTGGCTGAAAGATACTAAAATAAATTGCAAGGGACTTGTGAATAACATGAACATCAATGGCTACAGCTTATTCTTATGCCATTCAATTAAAATCCAGGAAAGGATTCAAATTTTGATCTCTTCAATAAATTGTTTCAAATAATTCTTAATTTTATAACTTTGCTAATTATGTTACCCCTATTATTTCTATTTATAGGATTTTCACAACCTGTTTAATACTTTATTTAAATCATTCAAACCTAAAAATTTACTTTATTTTAATATTTATTATATTGTGTAATTTTTATATTATTTTTAATGGTTATCAGGCATTGCAAAATGAATCCTCCTATGAATATATCTTAAACAATATAATTTAACATAAAGAATTGTTTTTTTTGTCAAAAATATTGAATGTTTGTTATTTATAACACAAGAATCTATTTTATATTTTTTATTCTATATTTTAGAAATATATATAAATAAAATTTGTAAGAATACAATAATATATTATAATTCTATATATATATAATTAAAATTATGTATTATAAAATACATTAATATAGTATAATTGTGAATATATATACAGAAATAAAATTTATAATAGAATACAATATAAATTGCTTTTTATTAGGTTTTTGAAATCTTGATTGTATTGTTTTCTGAAAGCTCTATTAGATTGTATTTGGTTCCTATATATTTTTAAATTTAATATAAACATTCTAAATATATAATAACTGTTTTATTTATGGTTTCCTAAAAAAATTTTGAAGAGAATATCCAGTGTAGTCTAAAGTTTTGGTTGCTATAATTTTTGTTATATAAAATAAAGGAAAAATGTTTACTATTTGGTAGCTTAATTTGAGTGCCTAAGATATTTTTTGAAATATTTTGAGATGAAGAGAATTCGAAAGCTATTTTTATTTTATATATAATAAAAATTAAAACACAAAATATACTAGCTGGAATAGTTTTTGACAGGCCTAAATTTTTAGGTATATTTTGAAAATGATATTGGGAATATTTATTTTTTTGTTAAAGTAAAATGTTTACTCTCTGGTATCTTAACTTGAGTGCCTAACATATTTTTTGAAATAATTTGAGATGAGGATAATTTGATTGCTAATGTATTTTATATTTAATAAAAATTAAAACACAAAATATACTAGCTGGAATAGTTATTGACTGAGGGCCTAAATTTTTAGGTATATTTTGAAAATGATATTGGGAATATAAGTTTGTTGCTATTTTTTTGTTATATTAAATATAGAAAAGTAAAATGTTTACTCTCTGGTATCTTAACTTGAGTGCCTAACATATTTTTGAAATAATTTGAGATGAAGATAATTTGATTGCTAATGTATTTTAATAAACAATAAACATTTAATTTTTAATGATACCACATAGTTGAGTGTTTTCTGTATTGGAAGCTGGTAGGTTAATTGTTTCAGTCATATTTTGATTAGCTTGGGAAAAATCTTTTTTTAAAATACATGTATATTATAATATCATTTTCAAAATTTGCTAACTATGAAATATTTTATAAAAATTAAAACACAAAATATACTAGCTGGAATAGTTTTCGACTGAGGGCCTAAATTTTTAGGTATATTTTGAAAATGATATTGGGAATATAAGTTTGTTGCTATTTTTTTGTTATATCTAATATAGAAAAGTAAAATGTTTACTCTCTGGTATCTTAACTTGAGTGCCTAACATATTTTTTGAAATAATTTGAGATGAAGATAATTTGATTGCTAATGTATTTTATATTTAATAAAAATTAAAACACAAAATATACTAGCTGGACCTATAATATATGATTAATAAATGTAAAATTGATATATATATTAATCTTTGGGATTTCATTATCATATAAAATCTTTTTAAATAAATTGATTTGTTGGAGAATTGTTTCATAATAATTCTGAGCCCTATCACAAACAATTCCTGGGATATCATTTAATGCTTTTTTATTATTATTGTATTTTTGACTTGATGTCAAATTTTTTATCTTTGGAATATATGGAACAATCACAATATTCTTATCGTTACCACCATCTTCATTAAAATTATCTATCGTTTTAGAATAAGATTTTTTCCATCTTGCATGGCATAAATTTTCATCATATAGATCTATGTTTTCACTGGCCCTCCTAGCAAATATATGTCGGCATGGTAAAAACATAGATTCAATAGATCCACAGCTGCAATGGATTAATGTAATCTCATAAATTTCTTTATCAATAATAAAATTAATATCATCTATCTTTTTAAAGCAAATTTAATTTGAATAAGTAAGCTCTTTTAATACAATTTTAAAGGCATAATTTGTAAGTAAGGTGTGGTATTGAAATTGTGGGGATGATGAATGGAATTTTGATGGATTAGAAGTCATATTAAGATTTATGATTTTATGCTTTTTATCTAAAGTTAGACATTTTAAGCAGTTTGAAAAATTGATAAAAAAATTTTTAAATGAAGAATATGGCTGCTAGCCTTTAATATTCTATTATGGCTTTCAACTCTATTGGTTGTGTAGTTTTTAAAATTTGTTGTATGTTTACGCCATGCAAGAGACCATTGATGCCTAATATGATGCCAATGATTATCGAAATATTTTTGTACCTCATATAAATTAAAATCTTTAAGCTGGTTATAAAATTGGTTATAATTATCAGTTGAGCTTGCATACACCATTTTTTTCAGGTGTCTATTTACTGAAAGTACTTGTTCATTATTTATATTCCTTTTATTCACAGTAATTTCTCGCCGAAATGTTTGTAATACATGAAATATGCATATTTCTAAGGATGCTTGTGGGAAAGCATCACTATATGCATGGCGGTCAGCAAAATCTTTGTCACTCACAATAGTTCTTATTTGTGAGTGGTGGGGATTATATTTCTTAAACATAAGAGCCATGTTATAAACAGTATTATAACATTCCGAATTTATAAGCCACATGCCACATATATGGCTAAACCCTTCACCATCAATTATAATTAGTAAAAATACTGGCATACAATAATTGTTCATTTTATATGTTGCATCTATAAAAACAACTTCAGGATATGCATCAAACATTTTTCGCATATCCCTACTTTGAAAATATATTCCCCTTAGTTCATCACCCTCTATACAGTCAAAACCGTTTAATTGCGAAAGCTTGGGACCGAAATATTTAAAAATTTCGCAATTATCCGATTTTTCGCAATTATACGATTAAAATTCAACAATTTATTTATTAAAAATCAGTTTGTGTTTTTTATAAAGATATTTATCATCTATATATATTTTAATCATATAAGCCATCAAACTTTGCAATAAATACAATTTTTAATTAATGTAACCAACTATATATTTTAATTTGAATAAGTTATGTAACGAATAAAAAAACTAAATTTTAAAAATTTATCTTATTTGTTGAAACATTTGTCATTTTACCTTCATTAAATTTACTGAAATATAATTTTACACAAATATATTATCACTTTTTAAATTCTAATTTATTATTAAAGCCAAATTTTAAAATATTTTGCCTAAAAAACTGGAAACAATAAGATTAATATAAAAGAATTTAAGTTTATTAAGTGTTTTGTTTTCACACACATGATATTTGATTTAAAATCATATGCCTATTCAAATCTTATAAATTCTAATATTATAAATGTAAATGTATTAACAGACCATGCTGGAATTAAAGTTTATTAATGCTTTATAACATAAGATTTTATTTGAACTAATTTTATTATACATGTATCACAATTATTATAAAGTAATATAAGATTTAATAAAAATATTTTGTGATAAGAGTTTGGCTAGACTCTGGAGTAAATAATTCTTTTTCCACTATATTCTCTAGCTTTCTTAGTGAATCTTGATCCCTTAGATGTTCATGAGCATATTCAAGAAAAGTATAATAACCATTAAGAGCCTGATTTTTTGTAATTAAATGATCAGATATCTCTTGGTTCCCTTCGTCATTCTCGGAGCTTTCATAACCTTCTATAAAAAATAAGATTAATTAAAATTTTAAGTAATTAAACCTTCCAACTCTAATCTTATCTGATTACAAATATCCTGATCATCTAAAATTCCATGGCAGCTAGCATCATCATCGTGTAACACATATTCTTCAAATATGGGATCAAATTCATCTTCTTCGTTGTCAGTTAATGCTATATCATCCTCCGATTCCCAATCAAATGCCATAGACTTATCAAAAAATTTAGCTTCAATAAAACACTTTATGATTGTGGTACTTGTCACCTCACCCCATGCAAATTTTATAAAATAGAGGCTATCATAAAGTGTAAATCTTTTATAAAAAGAAATGGTGTCATTTCCTTCCATCAATGTTATCATTTTTCTCATGATACCCTTTCTATAATGACATTTAAAGGATCTAATTGCACCCATGTCCAATTGAATTAATGATGTTGTATTAGCTGGTAAAAAAATTAATTTTATATTGTTAAATGTTAATTTTGTTTTGTGACAAGATGCATTGTCACAAAACAATAAAATTTTCTTCTTTAATGAGGAATCCCATTCTTTAAGAATATCTTCAAAAGTTGAGGTTGTCATCCAGCTGTTTTTATTGGAGTAGTATTTAACTGGTAATTTTTTATTTTTAAAGCACCTAGGGTTTTTAAATTTCCCTACAACATATAACTTTTTATCAGATCCATCCCCATTTATGATAAATAGAACTGTGACCTTTTCCTTGTCTGGTTTGAAGCCCAGTGGTTGAGTTCCACTAAATTCCATTGTGCCCTTTGGTAATGCTCGGTAGTATAGTCCTGTCTCATCACAATTGTAAATATTACTCCTTTGATAATCTTTAATCAGAGATGGGAGTGTATTTCTGCTCCATTCATTTGCATTAATAATATCTGCACTCCCCTTTTCATTGCAAACATTATGAAAATTTATATTCTGTCTTTTCCTAAATCTCTGCAACCAGCTGCTAGTAGGAATGCCTATAATTTATATATATATGATAAAAATTTATAATTACCTTCATTGAATGTTTGGCTAAAAAACATAGCTTTTTCTAACATCACTGGCCCATTTAGACTGCAATTTTTACTTCGCATTTGTGTAAACCAAACCAATAAAGCTGCTTCTGTCTTTGGGTAACAACTCATTATAACTCTTTTAGTTGTAGGAGGTTTATTCCTTAGAAATTGTGAGCATAGATTTTCTTTATTCGCTATTAAACGGTAGATTGTCGAGACGTGGCAATTGTAATTTGATGCTAATTGTGTTTTTGATGTAGTGTTTAATTTATCAATTATTTCTTTTTTATGCTTCAGGGTTAATGTTTGGAATGATTTTTTTACCATTTTTATATTAATTTCTGGCGTGGTAATGAATGAATGAATGAATGAATGGAAAAAGGTTAAATAAAAAAAATGATGAATAATTTTTTTCGATAAATTTTTTTTATTTTTTCACTTATCCGATTAAATTAACGTTATTGTTATATAAATGGGACCTGAAAAATTTTGCAATTATCCGATATTTCGCAATTAACCGATTCGCAATTATAAATGTAATTTAACATTATACCATAGTAATTATTATCAAAATCGCGGGGTTTTTTCGCATTTAAAAGTTTTTGCACTTAAGCGATATGCAATTAAACGGTTTTGACTGTATACATATCAATTATATTATCTGCACCATCATGATTTTCCATTAATTGAACTAACTGTTCTAAGTCATTTATTTTATTGTAAACATTGTCATCCACATTTTGATTCAATTTAACTTTTAAATTGTACAAATCTGCAGGTGTTACAACTTTACCCAGCTTGTTAAAATGAGAAATTATTTTAGATAATTTTCCATCAAAATTGAGGGCAACATTAGTTAAATTATTGTCTAATAAATTGGCCCTTCTTTGTTTGGGCATGTTGTTAAACTCCACAACATCTATAAAAAAAATTAAAACAATTGTCAGATAAATAAAGATGAACTTAAAATTTAACAGTCCAGTCATACACAAATTATGATTTAATATAATAATAATTAATATGAATTATAAATATTCATCTTTTATACCAGACTATCATGAGAAATATTGTATGATATATATACATTTAACCAGAGTTGCTAATTTAATCTCTAAAAGTTTATAGTAAATTTTATTTTATAATAAATGACCAGAAAAATTCTAAACTATTTATTTTATCATTTGGTTCACCTTATATGAATATTTTAAAATATGGATATGTTGATATATTTAAAAAGTATCAACTCTGGTTTTATTGGAAAAAATAACTGCTTTAAAACCATTAATAAATATTTAGATAAAATTATAAAATAAGATATAATACCCAATTCATGATTGTGGGTTTTATCAAACTTTTCTAACACAAATCTGAATCCATTTTCATTAGGTTTAAGTTTAAAAATAACTTTGCTATTGCACCCTTGTTTAAACGTTCTCTTTTAGCTTAAGCCTGTTGAACTAGATTTGAAAAGCCGACCTACTCTTTTGCAATTGTATGTTATTGTTTTATATTTATATATTGGATCATGATGAGGCTTAGAACGGGAGATATAATAATTTGAAAACGTATTCTTCACATAATTACTCATAAACTGTTTTAATGTAGAAAAATCTTTTAGTTCTAAATTATATCTTAATTCCTATTAAATAAAAATATATTAAATAATAAAAGCATCAATTTTAAAATTACCATTTTTTCCATTAGATAAAAAAAATACGTAAAAAAAAATTTAAAATAATAAAAGCATCAATATTTTTCCATTAGATAAAAAAAAATTAAAAAAAAAAATAATAAACAACTTTTTTTTAATATTTATTTGTTAATGAAAAAAAAAACAAGCGTGTTGAATAAAAAAATAAAATAACTTTATATGACACCATTTATTGCTGTTAAATAAAGGCGTTCTTACAAAACATATTTTTACCTAAACAGAAAACTATTTTAAAAATCCTTTAAAAAAAATATATATTCAAAAATATTTATGATCAAAAGATGTACCAGAAAAAAAGTACGTAAAAAATTAAAATATTAATATTTACGATCAAAGATGTATCAGATAAAAAGTACATAAAAAATTTATATATAAAAAATCATTTAAAAAATTTATTTTTAAAACAATTATCAATCAAAAATATTAAAAATAACAATATAACAAATTAAAAAAAATTATTCAAATATATATTAAAAATCCTTTAATAAAAATATATTCAAAAATATTTACGATCAAAAGATGTACCAGAAAAAAGTAGGTAAAAAATTAATATATAAAAATATTTATATAAATCTCAAAAAAATATATAAAAAACATTGACAATCTTAAAAATATTACTTTAAAATATATCTAATAAAATCTTTAAATTACAAAAATAATAAATTTATTAATAATAAATTTCCTCTCAAATAAATATTAAATTAATATCAATTAATTAATAAATTAATCTCTCAAATAAATAATAAATTTATTAATTTATAAAATAAAATACATTGCCTAAAAAAACCAAATGTACACTTTGCCTGGTTATTTAGGTAATGTACACTTTGCCTGGAATTCACCCTGCTTACCACCGTAACACATTGCCTAAAAAAATCAGGCAATGTGTACATTGCCGAAAATAACACATTGACGCTAACATATATACCTTAATATAAGAGCATGGTAATAATTTATTCCAAACAATTATAAGAAATTTATTTATAAAAAGTAAGTACCAAAAATTAAAAATACGTATTTTTAATTTTTGGATAGCGGAGATTATATTAGTAATTACAGTTGCTGCTCAGTAAGATATTTGCCCCCATGGAAGAACATACCCTAAAAAGCAGGGCAGTTGTGCAGATTTAATAAAAGCTGCCAGATTTTACTTATTATATAGAATTAGTTATAAAATACTAGGTAAAATTCCACTTTTACAGACATATTTGACAGTTAGAGAATATTACAGTTAATAATTTAACAAATTTTACTAATCAATGCTCTTGATATTAAATATAGCAACCATTTGCATTCAATTATTTAACGCCCTCTATCTATTTTAGGTAAAAATGATATTTAAATTTATCTTCATATTTTTCATCCCACAATGTCTTAAGATATTTTCTGATGTCCTTATCAATATTTTTTTCTGTAAAATATATAATTCGCTATATTGGTAAAAATTACTTGATTGTCATTTGATAATTAGATATACTGTAAATCTACGACATATAATATACCACTGTTTGTATTGTGCTTTAATATTTTTTTAATTTATGATTTAATTTTATCAATAGTTTTATAATTATATTTTACTTTTATTAAGATAAATAAATTAAAATTACTCACTTTATAAAAAATTATATTTGATATATTATATTATTTAGTAATTTTATGGATCTATTATTAATAATTATAATACATTTCACTTCTGTCTTAAGACTTATCTTTGGCTTATATTCCATTTATTAAAAAACATTTTTGGTTAATTTTATATATATATAAATTTAATTTCCCAAAAATCTATAAATTATGATGAATAGTTTTATAAAAAAATATCAACTTTTACATTCTTTCTTTCAAATTATTATTTAAGATATATGCATACATATTTGAGGGTCAGGGAGTGGGGGGAGGACTAAGGGGGATATTTTTTATTAGCTAAAAATGATATTTACAAAAAATGATAAATTTCTGAAGGGGGGGGGGAATTTCCCCTTGCCCCCCCCCTGGCTACGCCTATGAATAATAGTATCTTGAATACTAAAAATAATTCTATTCATGGAGCACTAATTGTTTATTAGTAGATGCAACTAACAAATGTGAGGCCAATATACCTTAGACATACATTTACCATCAATCATCTCCAGCGTCTACATGAGCGGGAGGGGTAGGAACAGTTTGCATCAAATTTTTTTGAGGGGGTAGGGGGTAAGCTGCTTTAATGGGGGTAGGATAATTTTTTGGGAGGTTATCTATTAAATTTTGAGATGAAATAGGACAAAATTTATTGCTGTAAAAATTAATACTTTTATTATTGTATTATTATAATACAATTCATCGACTAAATCTATATATTGCAAACAATCATACACATTGTTTTCCAAATAAACTATCCTTTTAAATGTAGTTTAAAAGGTTTAGATATTTCAGCAAGCTCATAATGCCATAATAATTAATTCATTGTCAAGAATGGAGGTTTTAAATCTAAATAAATTATTTATATTCACAAAATATCGATAGTTGGTAGTAGAGATAGATAAATTTAAGTTATCCTTTATAAATTCTTTTAAAAGAGTATCAATAAAT